GGTCCTTCGGGGGGGCGATGGGTGATGAGGACAACAACAACAAACATTAGTCAAGACTTACATTTAACATTTTATTAGCATTTTAGAGTGTGCATATTTCTGTAAATTTTACCTTCATTTAGAAGTTTTGGGGGGATTTGTAGTTCTTAAAACCAGCTTTGTAATTAAGCCTGAAAGTTTGAATTTGCTAAATTTGCCACTCTCTGAAACTCTAAGGAAATAGTAGAAGGGTACCATACAGATGGAATTTCTCCCCCAGTTGATATAAGCTAAGTCAGTACAGACTGAGGTTCAGGTCCCGGTCTGTAGGGCTCAGTTTCACATTCGGCCACCGAGTTGATTGAGTAAGCCATCAGGGTAATGAAAATAGGGCTTTGATATTCTTCTAAGAATAAAAAGTTACTCCTCAACATTCAGAGAAACTGTCTCAGATTTATATCTGATGAATCCAATTTTATTATTATAGGGCAGTGATCTTTGTATGGAATTAGCAGGTTGCTGCTCTATATTGGAAGTGACTTTCTGCTTTGATTCCTTATTACGTGATCTTTACACTTGAGACTGTTTAAGTGAAGTTTAATTAGCATTATTTCTAAAGCACCAACAGCTAGTTAGTAAATACTGTAATAAGCTTAGCTCATAATTTCCTTTCTTTACACATAATTATTGCAAAGCAGTTCAGAATTATAATTTGTATAGTTTATGTCTACACAACAAATTCTTATTCAAAGGACTTGACTATGCCCAGTCAACCCCTGCTAGCATCTTTGAGCAATGTCGTGATCTTTGACAAGCTGCTATGGTATAAATGAGCAGACAACTAGTACCAAGAAATACAGCAGATGTAGACAATTCAAAACATGCATTCTCCACTGTACAGTACATAATTTACTGTACACCAAGTGAAATATAACTTTAGGTACCAAAAGACACCAGTCACTAAAATCTGTAATAAATAATTATAGTAATGTGCAACTTTGGACTCAGGCCAACCTGGATCACAACAATCCTTATCCATTTGAACACCATTTGAGGTCACAGGACCTTGTTAATCATTGAAATGAGGAAATTATGGATTCCAAAGCATAGTTGTGGGTATACAACTGATATGGCAAAACCAGCATTAAAACCATGAGCCAAATGTGACTTTTATTAGAGAAGAGCACTTTGGCTTTGAGTAGTACTATATCACACACGCACATCCATCCATACAGGATATATCGCCTATACATACACACACAAGCACACATATATAGTTGAAATGTAGATGACTAGCTTCACGTGTATAATACCATCAAATGTTCCATTCCACCTGTTCAGCTAAATTCACTTATTGTAAAGTGAATCTAAGATGAACAGATGCTTGACATGTTTGTGGCCCATGGTGATTCACTTTTGCTGGTATATTAATTATTAATAAACAAAATGAGCTTCTTTGTTGGGATTTGATCCCTGTTCTAGTGAATCTGTGTGTTGGAATTATCTGGTAAAAACATCAGAAGCCCATCCATTTTCTAAGGAATCCATCATGTGCAAAAACAAATTAAATCAAACAATTTAAAGGTGGGCTACAGTTCATTCAGTGGACTTCTTCTCTATCACTTTTAAACAGGACAGAGATAATGCTTCGATAATCTCTTGCTCATAGTTATTCAGCATCAAAGCAAAGCATTATCTAACATTCCAAAATATTTGTATGAATCTCATCTTTTCTGTTAAGAACTGCAGATGTGCTGAGGCTTCAGGATTTTTAAAAAATATTCTTGAAATATTTTTTTTACTGGGACTGAAAGTTGGGGCTAAGTACCCAATGATTTTGTCACCCTTGCTGGGAGTAAACTATTTGGTTATTTAGTTATTGTTTTTCAGGGTACTTTGGAGTTGTTATAGATGAAAGTAAACATCAAGCAGAAGCTTTCACACACATTTTCTATCATTTATGTCTTTTTGTAAATATAAATATTTCAAAGCAGATATAGTCAATGCAAGCCATCCGTTCACTTACTGTCAGCGTTTGTGCATTACCTAGAGAAAGTGCAACGTCTGAAAGGACTCAGAAGTAATCACATTTCGTTTTCGTGCTACGTTCACTGTAAGCTATTTTAAACTGAGGTAAAAGTCAATTGCATTCTGTGTTTTTAGATCCTTTAAATGCTTGCAGTTAGAATAAAGAATTTGGTCCAGTTTAAGAGTGTATAGGAAGTTTGGATCTGTATTTTCTATCTGAACTTGTACAATTATTTTTTATATAATTTTGCCAGTGGGAAGCCATATGGCATTACCAAGACTAAGTTGACACAAAGTATCACACAAGAGACTCCTTTCAAACTGAGCTTCAAGGGTAAGACATGAACATGGATGCGTGGCTTGCTAAAGGGAAGAAAGCAGATGATAGTCATAAGGGGAGCTAGGTTGAAATGGGGGTGGGATTGAGTGGATGCCTCAGGAACCTGAGATAGTCCTAAAATCCGTAAATGACTAGGATTCGCAGTCTCAGCCCAAGATACTGTAGTTAAATTTACAGATGTCACAGAACTAGGGAGAAACTTTGGATTCAAACAATGCAGCCCTCATGTTATCAAGAGAATTCTGCAGGGTGTGCACCCGGGCTCACTATTGACAAACATTGTGGTACAAGTGGATGGGATAGAACTTGCCAAGGAGGAAAATGAAAGAGACCTAGGGGTGTTTGACTCATCGCTCACCGTGTCCAGCCAACGTAAGGCAGTAAATAACCAGAAAAGCAGGATGCTGGACTCAATTCCTGCATTAGGTGAGTTCTAATCTCCAGAAGCTGTGCTCAAACTGTACACTGCTCTGGTATAAAAATCTTTCCTCTTTGACCATACTGTTGATCAACACCAAATGTCCCAAGTCCCATTTCCCACCTTGATCAGTGATCAACATTGTGTGCATAAAGCTTTATATGATGTTCTCCAATATAAAATGTGCCATGTGAGCACATGTTGTTGGCAGGCTATACGCTTTGTTTAAAGTTCTGGTCACTGAGAACTGCTGAGGTCCATTGCAGATGAGAGCAACAAGCCTGATCCCCAGGGTTAGAGGGATGAGTTATGAGGAATAACTGGACAACTAAGGGTTCCTCAACTTTGAAAAGAAACTTCTCAGAACAACTTGCATTACAAAGCACCCCTCATACAGGGGAGCGTCTCTCACAGTGGTGGAGCCTGATGCTGAGCCGGGGGGAGGTGACCGTAGGCATGGCCAAAGAGGAAGTTCTTCAGGCGTGATCTAAAAATGAGGAAGGAGAGGGCAAGGCGGAGGGATTGAGGGACAGAGTTCCAAGTTTTGGGGCGGGAGTTGACTTTACAGAGGTATGCTTCTATTTAGGTTAGTTGATGGCAATCCTACTTCTGGGTCAAGGTTGTGGGTTCAAGAGCCATATCTGGATGGCTTACACTGCAATGGAGTGAAGGGGAATAGTGCATTATCAGAAGTATTGTCTTTCAGAGGAGGCATCAAACCAAGATCCTATGCACCTTACGTGGATGTTAATGATCCAATGATATTATTTTGCTTGATGCTGACCAACAATTCTTCAGATTAATGGGTTTTTGAAGACTTTGCTGGTCAAAATGGTCGTCATATTTACCTATAGAAAGACACTTTGATAATAATTGCGATAAAGTGATAAGATGCTATTTAAACAATGCTAATTGTTTATTAGTTGTTCCTAATATGCTTAAAGGGATTAAGAAAAAGTAAAATGTTGGATCCATCAAGGCAGCAGTTGAAAAGGATAAAAACTCAGGGTTGTAAAGGGCAATTATAGAACAGATGATAATAATCAGTAGCTGGAACCGTTTACCAGAGAGTGTGATAAACACAGGAGTTAAATGAAACACAGCTTGATGCTGGAATGGAGGATGGTAGGGCTGGTATGTGAAAGATCAAATAGGCAAAGCTTCTTTATCATCTGAACCTTTCTTATGATCTAAACAAATAAGGAATGTCGGTGTTGGAAAATGTAACACTAGCACATCTGAGGAACCTAGAAAAAATAATTTTTTCACATTATTTTCTGTAAATGTACTGACCTTAAAGGCATCTGTATACAATGGTAATTTTTTATTATAAGCACAACCCACAAAGGTTGGTAGATTTCCTGACGAATGGAAATATAAGTCAGTATCAAGAACTCTCAGGATGGGTTTAGCAGAGCTGGATGGAAAGCAATGCTCTCTCTAAACTGCTTTGAAAAGTATTTCAATTCCTCCCTTAGAATGACACCCATCCTGCAGGATTGTGGAATTTCCATTTCAATGCCAGCCACCATGTGGCCACTCTCAGAGAAACTGCCAATGTATTGCCAAGTTGCATCCATTTTGTCCTATGGGCCTACACTCACTACAGAGCTGAGACTTTCCAAAGTCATTATACTGTATTTAAGATTTGCATCTAGCAGTTGATAAAGGAGTCAATTGTTATCAGTCTGGGTTGGATTTGACCCTAGTTCCATGAATTGGTCTGTAAATTTACCAAATTTTGTGAATGTTCAGTATAGTGAACCATGGCACTGCTCAGACACAAGTAGTATTGTTTATTTCACTAAAATTAGATATAATGCTAATTTCAACCTCTCCCCCACCAAAATGACACACTGTGTGCCTCTTTGTTATGGTCTTCAGCATTTCTCTCTAATATAAAGGGAACTTTCACGTGGAAAAATTAGAACAAAACAGATTTGAAGAAAAGCTCTTGCACGGAAAAATGCAGGGTAAATGGTGGAATGCCAGAAAATTGCTTTGGGATGCAAAGTGACTCTTGTGTAGCAACTCATACATAGGCCACACCAATCAATGTGATCTGTGCCCTGAAATGATCATGGCTTGGAGCAGAGGTCTTTGAGTTGGTGTGACATACGTGGGGTTCTGACACACTTCCAGCGTTTGTGCCATTTATGCAGATTCTTTTCCCGTTCAAGTTCTTTTTTAATCTCAATGTATTATCGGGGGGGGGGGGGGGGGGGGAGAAGAAACACTACTACAGTGTTCACCCAGCTATATTATTGCTGTCAAATGCAAGAAATCCAAACCTGTTTAACATCCTCAATCCAAATGCTCCATTCAAACCGTTGTGTTTAAGCAGTCGTTTTGCGCTACAATGTAACTAGACAGTTACTTCTCAGAGATTCTCAGCAAACAACAGTCTAAGCTTAGAGCTTACTGGTTACAATGCTCAGCTTTTCATGCAAGATTAGCAAAACACACAACCTCTAGCTTTGCACACCTTCTCAAAAATTGCTCTGATTATTCATTCGGTGATGAAATTACACATGAAATGTTTCAGCCATGAGTACCGCTTTGTCTTCTGCTGGGATCTTCATTGCTAAGGAGAACTTTCCCTGCTGAAATATATCTTTTTTCAGTTAAAAAAGCCGTGCTTTCTTCTTCAGGTCATTTCTCTTCCATAGCGCCAGCCGATTAAATTCTTCTATAGTCATCCCGAACACACGGAAGAACTCCTCTGGAGACAAGTGGCGCTGGAAAAAAGAAAAGTTATTATTGACACATGTCAAAAAGGAAGATGAATCTTCATGTGCCACAAACAAAACCTGTCTGCTTCAGTACTACACAATATAGTGGATTTATTCAATGAGTCATTACATTACGTAATTTACAGTTTGTCACCGAATCAGCCAATAAATTAATTGACAGCAGATCTGTTGCTACACAGGTCCACGTAAATGGGGTCAAATATGTAGAGTGCTTTGATTATTCCATATGGTTAGACATTGATTATGATAAATTACTCTTGCAAAGTTTACCCAAATGCACAGTGAGAGATATACATTATCAGTGACAGGCCAGTCATAGTGCAATATAACATAAAGCAGTCTTACTTACGATTTTTGAAATAGTGCATAATGCTTTTACATAACTGAATTTATCTTTTGTAAGTTGTATGTTTAGGTATTATATAGACTAGTTAGCAGTAAATAGGATGGACACGGTCGAGCGCCCTATCTATCAAGGTGGAGGGGAATCCTCGGCTGAGGAAAAGGAGGACACTTCAGAATACACACTACCTCAGCCAACCCCACTGCCCCAGCGCTCCCTCCACTCAGCAAACACTGACCTGCTTTATATCTCTGCCCATTCCATCCTACCATTGGTGGTTGAGCTTTCAGCAATTCTGCTATTCTGAAACTCCCTCCTGAAGCCATTCCGCCTATCCCTTTGCTCCTTGAATCCAGAAGCTGCCTTATGGTTGCTCTTTCACAAGGTTAGTCTGGAGGAAGACTCTTGTTAAGGCTACATGTTCTCATTCCTCCAGAACATTTAAAAAGTCGTTGATTACCCTCTGCATGAAGAAAACGTCTGGCTTCTGGCCTGAAATTATTCTAAACCTATGTCCTCTTGTTCTACAGTCATGATACAACCTAGAGTATTGATCTGGGTTTACTTTTTCAATCTCATCAAAAAAATTGTACATCTCTAAGCGGTCCCTCTGAGTCAACTCTCTCAAGATTGAAGAGTCCTAGCTTGTCTAGTCATTGCTCCTAGCTCATTCCTCTAAAACTGGGGATGATCCTAGTTGGCTTTCCTCTATACTGCTTTTAGGGTTTGACTTGTGTCACGGTGACCAGAACGGTGTGCAGGATACAACTTGCCGTCTGACGAGAGCATTGCAAGAACTGAGAACGACATCTGGGGACCTAACCTCAATTAGTTTAACAATATAACCCAGCATCCTGTTTGCCTTGTTTATTAGCCACCTCTCTCAACCCCCTGCATGAGCAAACCTTTAGCCAGGTCTCCCAGTCAACTGTGTGAAGTGCTTTAAGATATCCTCCAAGCATTAAAGGCCCTATATATATATTAAATTATGTTGTATGATTTTGCAATGTAACACAATGCAAATCTTAGACCAATGTCTTCTTTACATTACAGCACCAATGTAGATTTTGTGTAATCATTACTTTGGTCTTTAAATCATGTTATTGAGGTAAGCCTCCATTGCATTCACCTCAAGCCAGATTTCCACAAGGCAAATTAGCTGAATTATTCTAACCCTCAATTTTCTGTCCAACATCTGTTTTTTGCTACACCACAAAGGGAGTGGAACTTGACATAATGCAGTCCTCGAGGAAGTAGTTGAGAAATTCCACTGCTTTAAAAACAGAGCACCTGTTGCGAGTTCAACTTGACATAATACTTCCCTCTTCCCGTCTTCCATATTGGTGATGGTGGATAAACAATATGGGGATCATGTTGCTAAATTTCTTAATTTTCTTTTTTAATCTTTATTTCTGAGAGGAAATGGCCAGTGTGTTCTACAAGGTCATTTCCTGTCCAGTTCATCTCTGGAAATATTATGGTGCATGAAACTGAAAGCGCAGAGGAATTTAATTTAGCTGAGGGGCTAGTTTCAACGACAAATATGCAGTCACTACACTGTACAGATAAACTCTGTGGAGAACTTTTAAACATTTTGGTGTGATAATAATAATAATTTTTGCATTTGATATAGCGCCTAATCGTGTATTTGAGACATTTCAAAGCGCTTCAGAGGATATACTATAAAGTGGATTTTGACTGTTATTTATGGGCAAAATGTGGCAGCCAGGATTGCACAGCAATGTCCCACAAACAGATATGGAATGAGTGACCGATTTTATTTGGAGGATTTTTTGGCCAGGACACCAGAGAGAGAAGCTCCCTTCTCTTTTCGAATACTGCCATAGGATCTTTAATGTCCACCTGAATAGTAGATGGGACCTCGGTTTAACATCTCATCCAAAGGACGGCACCTCCAACAATGCAACACACCGCCAGCACTGCACTGGAGTGTCAGCTTAGACCAAATGATTCCAAGTCCTGATAAGGTGCTATATCAAATGCAGGGATTATTTACTCTTGGATGTTTATTCATGGCACAAATAATACTTCACTTTGCCAGGAAATACAGATGAAACTGTGTCTGCAGGTAATGTAAGCCACAGGTGTGTTAACATCTACACATCATTTTCCATGACAATAGAATACAGTGACATGTCTTTCTTTACTCCAAGTACTCCAACGCCCCACTCGTCAGGCTCCCCAGCTCCTCTGTACATAACACGCTGACCATCTAGAACTCCGCAGCCCAGGTCAGGCTCTGTGAGCCCATCAACCCCTATCTTTGTTCAGCTCCATTTGCTTCCTATCCCTCAGTAGATTGAATTCAACATTCTTGTTCTCACTTTCAAATGGCTCTATGACTCGCCTCATGCTACTGTACTTCTGCAACATCCTGCAAACCTACTGGTCCAGTCCCTCCCTCCTCTAAGCAAACACTGACCTGTGAAATGTCCCCTGCCCAAGCTGCCCGACTATCAGTGGGTGAGCCTTCAGCCCTTTCACCCCCACTAAATGGAACTCCATCCTGGGGTCCCTCCGCCTTGTCCCACCCCGGTTTCAGAACCTATCTTAAACCTATCTGTTTAATCGTACTATCAGCCACCTCTCCCCCTCAGCTGGGAAAAAGAGCACACTCTGGTTTGTGGCCTTTTCTGTGGCTCTCCATTAATATTACTTCATATTCTAATAGGGGTCAAATTTTACTCCCTTGAAACAAAGGACTTAGTTCCATCTGGTGGTCTGACTTATGTCACAGATCTTCTGAGAATCATCAAAATTAAGTTTGAGCTATAATCTTTGCCTCTCTAAGTGGGAGTTGAACAGTCACATTGTGGGACCTAGTAATCTGACTAAATCAATAATAAACAAATTCAGAAATAAATATCTATACAGAACTCCACCACCAAAGCTCACGAAAATAACAGATGGATACAACTAGTTTTTAAAAGACCAGTGTTGGGATTAAAGCGGTTGTCAGCAGTTGCAGTTGTTGCTCTGCTCGATGGAATCATTAAGTGACCATCTTGGTGAAAAACTTTAAATATAATTCTCATCACAATTTTAATCAATTATCAACAGTGGAAGCCTGCATACCAATGAAACTCCATTCATAATACAGTACAATGGTTGTGCAGTCTTGATCAGTTACAGTTATTCAGACTTCTGTTGTACATATGGTGATCCTTCCAATAAAATTCTAACTTAGCAAATTTCACTGTAAATAATATTTTGCTATAACAGATTAATCCAAGACATCGAGAGTTCAACCGACTGAAAACTCAGAATTAGGAATGCAGAGAAGTGTGACTAATTAAAACAGAATGAATTAGTTGTAGGAAGACAAAACATGGATCATATCAAATTCAACAGCACAGTCAGTGACACGGGATGTCACAATTGGGATTTAAAACAACAGCTGTGGGCTTCTCTATTTATAGATTCAATAAAACTCTTAAATTGGAATAACAGAACATTTACATTAAAATGACCAAAATCAGCAATGAACAAAGTTTGATCAAATTTGCGTAAATATAAATCCAATATATCTGCAGATGAGCATAACTGCAAATATCACAGGTTTACTGTAAGCACAGATTATATCCACATTTAAAAAAGAGACTTGATCTACTGTTGCAAGTCCTAATATACTGCTGTCTTACAGTATTATGATGTGTCTTATTTTTAATGACATTTTAATGACTTACACTTTAAGGATGGGCTTCATCTCGATTGCATTTGAAGATAACTAGAAATACATTTGTTTTTTACGAGTATGTTAAATTGACTCAACTTTACTGATCCTTATCACGGATTGCCTTATCATGCTATTGAGTCTCAAAATGCTTCACAAAATATATTGTAAAGTGAATTGTTTGTATTTCAAGCAAAATTAAGTATTTTGCTTGAACTACAGAGATAAGAAAGGCAGAAAATAAACCTAATAGTAACAAACTGCTGTCAACAATAGCAAGCCATTTAGGAACCACCAGAATCCCCCCAAAATAATCTATATTCAGGAAACACTTTGGAAAAGAAAATGACCTTAAATCGAGCAGAAAAAATATGCTTTCTTTGATTTTAATCAAAATAATTAATTGGTTTTCATGTTTTGTTAAGTTGCCTCCAAATTAGATCATCTTTTTGTTGTACTACAAAGTAGAAAATATATGAAGCTTTACATATAATCTGTATACAAGTAATCCCCTTCCTCCAATTCAGCAGTAATTTGATAAAAAACCAAACTATTTAAAGGGTGCAGTGCTATTAAAGGCACAACAAAAATAAACAATCCGCTGGTATCCTGACTATTATCCACTATACTATCCACAACAATATACGTGCATCATTACAAATTGGTTTTAAAAAGTAGCACAGAATTTCTAATCATTCAATCTTTCAGATCACAGTTCAGACCAATGTCTGAATAACACTCAGTCACTAAACAGCAGGCTTCGGTATCTATTTTCATGGCCACTTCAACAACCATTATGCACGCACATGAGCCTCTCATTATTACAATTCCCCTACTTATGCTGGCACTATTCCTTTGAGAATTAGCTGACCAAGATAGCACCTGGTAAGTACAATGCAGATTGATGCTGATACCAAACAAACAGCAATGACAGCGGATGTTATGCAT